TTCGTATGGTCGATATTTCCCATCTTTCCACTGCGCGACTATCCATTGTAGTCTACCGAATGCTGGCCCGGGGGCTTTGAGGATTTGCAGGATTCACCGGTACACCGTTCTGCGGCTCTATACACCGCGCTCGGGGGATTTGTGTTCACGGGATTGAGAAAGCCAGGCGAAAAAAGCACGGTAGAATAGGATTAGAATCCGTCGAGTCCGGGGCCGATCGACGACGGATAAGACCGGGCGGGGGTGGACTGGATCCCCTGCTCGATCTCGATACGCTCTGTATTGCCTAATCGCATGCAAATCGCGAACTCACAGTGTCGGTCGGCGTTGGAATTTAAACAAACGTCGATCCATCGGCGCGATAGTATCCTACAACTCGTCGATAGAAATGGGGTAAACAAGTCGGCGAAACCGAGGAAAATGGCGAATTTACATAGAAATGATACATACGAAATCGTTGATCCACGGACACTATATGTATAACGATTTAGGCATAAGGTAATTAAGAGGATGACGAACATTTGAAGTGGGAGTTGAAACGAAGGTTGAAACGGATCGATTACGCAAACGTTGAACCGTCTACGGGGCAAATAGGAATATTATACTGTGGTCGAGAGGAGTTTAATATCGAGAGTGGGCGATTCGCTTGCCGGACACGTACGGGGCTTACTGTATGGTGACTCTTCAGTGAAACGGGTAGATTTTCGATTCCCTCAGTCGGGAGATTTTATTCCTCTTATCATCCACTGCAGGTGGTAGCCGCGACAACGTTTAATCGGCTTTGGGCTAATTGGTGCGAGTCTGGGATGTTGGACTAAATATATTCAACAGGTACCCCCCACACAGTCTCTTTTCTCTGTTTAACGAAGTATTCTACTGTCAGATCCAAGGAAAGAAAATCGATCGAACTCGAGGGACAGAGGTTGATACCCTTGCACGCACAGATTCAATCCCCAGTCGACATCAAGAACACTCGCGTCGGGGGATCGAAAGGGCAAAGTGTCCGTGGGGACGTGAGCCCTCATGACCCTTATCCTGAGATTACGCCCGTAGAGATACGCCCAATTATCAAACAATGAGATTCTGAAACGTCTTTTGGGAATCCCGAGAGCTCCCATCGGGACGTCTCTGTTTGCCATACGCGTGCCTGCGGTTGGCATTTATCGGTCGACTTCGACGAGAACTTCGAACCTCAACTTCAGATATTTCCAGTCGGTACATTACACCAATTAAACTGAAGCCTTAAAAGACAAAATGTTATTCTTTGTTTTTCGATGTATTAAAAAATAAGTTGAATTATTTGCACGATTTCGGGGACACTCTGTACGGTTCTTGTTCCGTATGGATGTTGGGTAAAGAAACAAACTTCGGGTTACACGTGCTTTTTCCCGTTGTTCTTTTTTCAAAAAATATTTTACGGACGAGGGACATGTTCGACGATCGGATCAGCGAATCGATCATGTTTGCACCGATGTTGTCTCGCGGTGAACAAGAGGGCGGACCATCGAGCGACGATAAAATATCGAGCGTGGTGTCGATCAACGACGCGTTTTCCGGGAGCCATCGATATTTCCTTCGAGTCCTGTCTAGTGTCGATCGATACACGAGAGGCGTAACCGGGGCGACGCCGAAGTTTCGACCGTGGAGGGGCTTTAATCCGAAAACTGTTCCGGCGTACGGTACGCTGATAATCCAAGTTCGACGAGTTGACAATTGCACCGTGATGCCACACCGCGTTTCTCAACGTTTGACAGACTGTGAGACTTCTGTACACAACCAACGTCTGCTAGCCCGTCGTTGGATTTATCGTTCGGGGAATAATCCGGGACGCTAGGTGATTCGTACGTTCCTATGTGATTTGCGACTGTGAATTCACTGTATTGTGATGAAATTAGTGAAAATATTATTGTTATAATTCAGTTCGGAATAGTAGGGCTTGATACATATAGTAAATCTTCGATGAGGGTCTGACCAATGACGAGCCGATTCTACTTGCCCAGGGCAAGCCCTCGTCGAGCTCTGGAAGTCCCGTTTGCGGGAGTGATTAAAAGCAACGTCGACATTGGAACACTAATTGACTAGCGACGGTCCAATAGCACTTTGCGGTCAATTTTCAGTTTCAGAACAGAGCTGGCCACCGTCACGAATGCCTTTCCTTCGCGACGCATTAATACGTGGTCGGGAAAGGGAAAGCAGTCGCGGTCTCCACGAGTTCGGACGAAACCGCAAATTACACGATTTACGTGAAACTTCTAATTGGAGGGTTATTCACAAACACCACGCTTGTGTGGGAACGTTTTGTGCCTTCATGCCCAGAAAGACACTACAGCGGGGAATTAATTAACAAAACTGAATAGGGAGCCTCTAAATTTCCGCTTAATATCACGAAGATAAATATCAGGCTATTAATGGTAAAAGTTAATAGAATCACAAGAACCTTTATTCATTAAATATATTATAATTTTATTCAGTTTAGTATTTAACCATTTACGTGCTTTATCTATAACTTTAAAAGCTACACCTTCCATTTTTGCTACTTCACGTAATACCCCAAACATAGAAATATGTTGCTATCATTATCATTATAAGTAGAATAAACAGGAATTAGCTTGCAATAAGAGAAATGATAGGAGCTATAAATTCTTGGACTATATATTATGAAAAATTAAGAGGCTCTCTGTTTCCAAACTGTTGGCTCAAACTGCCTAAGAACCTTCATTTCGCTGTCATTGTCTTTCGCGAAAGCTCAGCCAGGAATATTACTATTCCTTTACCATTGAGATTCGACCCTCGAGCGATCTACTTTTTTTTCTTTTCCATTGAACCACTACTCCCCCCCCTCACAATTTCATTCCAGACTGTTTAAGGAATTATTAGAATTCGATATCACGACCGCGATTGTCATGTACGTGGTCGCGGGAAAATTTACATTTCGTCCGGGACCCCTTTTCGAGGAAAGTGTCCGCGACCAGACGTTTGCTGCATTAATTGAGTTTGCGGCGACTTCGCCAGCGCACAATATATAAATTGATTTGGTTCGTGTGCTGCTACGCCCCCCCCCCGTCCCTCTATTGTCAAAGAAACAGCCGTCGAGCGTAATTTCGAGCCGATTCTATGTACTCCTTTTCCTGTGATTCGTAACTTTGAAACTCTACAGGAGCTGCGGAACGCGATGAAATTGAGCGAGGGCTTCTGTCGTTCCCTCTAATTTTCGACGAGTGGTTTCCAAACGTGTCCATTTCTGAAAGCCTTTCCCGGTTCTGAAACGACATCATCGGTTTTATAATCGATAATGGAGCTTGACTACCGAGGTTCGAGTCTCGTGAAAAGAAATTCAAGAATCTGGGAAGAGTACTTACAAGGGAACATATCGAACCTGCATATGCCGACTTTAATTTAATTTATACATGGGAGATAGTTCTCCAAAAAAGTATTTCCCCATGTTAAGGGGGCGATAACAGCCTCTAAAGTTTAGGGATGAAAATGTGTCTCTCGGAATAACTCGGAAACTAGAGGGAGTGGAAAAGATCTTTTTCTTTTAAATTGTGTATTTTTGAATGGAGAATTTATTCACATGAAAAAAAGTACGCGTCAAATACTTTTTTGGAGTCTCTCAGATAAGTTTCAATCGGTATGCTCCCTTGTTAGATTTGAGCTCTCATTGAATTCTTTTTCTTCAGAAATTCTCCGGTTACTATAAATTTTCTGGTTCTCCCAAGAATTTCTTTATCGGAAATCGGTGATTATTTTTCGATCGATGCTCGTTTACGTAGTCGCTGCGCTGCTTAACAATCACTGGACAGGGAAATCATGCTAGTCTGGTCACACAGGAAGAAACTGGCAACGGGAATGTGGCGCGTATTTAAAACGGAAGTGTTAGAGAGGAGGCGCGGAGTGGTTTTGTTGAGGGTACACGAGGGGGGTTGGGTGGGTGCCGGCACATCGATCCCCTGGGTGCAGTCTGGTAGAGTCGACCCTCGTGGAAGGTTGCACGCCGATGAGATAGCAGGAAATTGAATAGTGCTCTCGCTTGATAGTGGGCCGAAGTGGCACTGTCACTATGCGTTCGCTCGCTCTACGTTCGGTTGAACATGGCTACGTCGTGTTTGTGAACGATTTCGCTGGTCGTTTAATTTTTATTTTTACTCTTCTAAAGTCAGAGAACTTATTTCTACCATGAATATCGGAGAACTTTATTTCTACATTGAATAATATTAACGAACGGCAGCCGAGAATTATTTATTTTACCGTTAGAGCGTTTGTGATTCGTATTACCGAAAGGAGAAACGGATTGTGTAACCGAGTCGAGTTCCACGATATTTAAATTTCGAATCTTGCGCTCGGTATGCCTGACATCTGCTACGCGGTATGTACTAATTCGAGGTGGCGGGAAGGCGATTTAAGCGATAATGCAACGATGATAGGCCAAAAATGATAGGATAACCTTGGAGGTGATTTTAAAGAAATTTATGAATCCTATTAAACATGTCACATAAGGTTCTTGTAATGCATATAAAAAAGAACAGAAACAAATTTTGTTTAGAATTATCCACTAAAAGGTAGCGGCACAGTAGCTGCACGACCGGTATGTGGAATGTTTCATGTCCGTACCGTTGGTCTTGGAACAAAAAAACGAAAAGTTTCGTCATCTAGACACTAAATACTAGAAACTACCGATCTTTGGAAAACATTAAGAAATTTTTTTATAATTAACAGATTTAGTATGGTACAACATTAATAAAGTTTCTAAATTTCTTTAAAATCACCTCCAAAGTTATCCTATCAGTTTTACTTTATCATCGTGGCGTGTTACCCCAGCGTGCCATTCCGCGCAATCACGCGAAACAATTAACTTCTGCGGCGAGTGGAGCTATTTGAGACTTACTTTGTCGGTTCACTATTGAAACGCGCGCATCCCTCTAACGTCGACACGTTCCCGTGTTTAAGCATCCACCGCGGGGCTGCCATATTAACGAAGGATTTTTTATTACTGATTGCAGAGATTAAAATGTCCGGGACGGAGGCTCATGGCGGCGACACGAGTCCCACGCGTCAGCCGAGGTAATTAAAAACCAATCCTTTACAATCTAGTCGAAGTATAGTCGGGTGTGTTTCCTCGAAGAAAAAAAAAGTTGCTCACCCGGAGTATCGCTCGTGCAATGGTTCGCCGTTCGTAATTTCTCGCGGAAACCTACAACTCGTGTCCTCTTCCGTAACTTTTCTAAACTTTCCACGGTCTTAATCCGTTTAGCTCTCTCATCAACGTCCTCCTGCGTTGTGTTTTTCTCTTGCTCTTTTTCTTGTAGCGATACTGCGTGAAACAAACGCAGCGGGACATTTAATCACGAAGACATACCCAGCTTTCATTTGTGTTAATTTTACAATTATAACCAGATACAGTTTGCACAACGAGAGAACGAAGTAAGTTTCCGTTTGCTTATTTCTCGCGACTGTTCTTGATCGATATCGATCATCGAAGTATCGAGTCGAACGAAGGCAGGTACTTATCTGGTATCTCTAGCATCGGTAAGGGAAGTATTAGTTGTTCAAAGAGGAATTGGCTGAATTAAGCTCCTTAATTAGGTAGTCTGATTCCCCGGAGACATAAGGATATTTAGCAATTAATGTGTCCTTGGGCATTATTAACGATATTGGTCGTACAAGCAGACGAGAAGCAACGGGAATTATCTGTTTCCTTTCTTGAGGTCGATACACGCCTCGAGCTGTTTACATTTAGACGACACATTTTCTACTGTGAATTTCAGACAGACGAGGATTCACAGCGTCGGTCTACCGGCTCGAACATCCCTGCTTCCGGAACCACCGCCCACCGGATGCGGCGATCCACCGCCGATACCGCGACGACATTCCGCCGCGCCCGCGGTATGTCAATTCGAACTTATATCTCTCGTCTTCTATCATTTGAAAATATAGTTTTCAACGTTTCACGCTTAATATTTACATTTCACGTACAATGTATGGAGATAGATCCGACCATAAGTCAACGGACACAACTCGACACAACCTCACGATGGTACAATTGTACCGAAATCACAATTCGTCGCTCTAGTTCGTAATTGTTCTATCTCCACTAATTTCTAAACTGAGAAAACCGAGTTTAAAGTTTACGAAGTTTAATATAATTAATCATAGAAGCAGAAAAGTAGTAAAACAATCAAACCCATTATAATAGCATCTACTGAATAGCTATTTATTACAATATTGAACCAAGTTTTATCTTATTATCAACATAAATTTGTCATTGTTATTAGGAATTGGAGATACAACCATTAAAAAGACTAACTAAATTTTGTTGAAAAATCGAGTTAAAACAGTTAGAACAAGGGCGACGAATTATCGAATCAGACTACTGTATAAAAGTACGCCTGGCACTGTCAAAAAGACGAATGAACAAACGTGGTATAATTACCGTGAAAGGGCTCGTGGGATACCTTCAAACCCTCCTGATCGCCGGAAGTAGCTTCCCTTCGAGAAGCCTGGCTATCCGAGCCCCCGTAATTACCGGAACTTGCCGCCTAAATCACGACCCTAAAGCCTAGGGGGCGGTTTAGCTGCGGACGAAGCGTGTCGACACTTCGCGAATTAACAACCACCGAGTGAAAACCGACGTCGTAGCTTCCCGAGGTCCGTAGTGCTCGTGTGAAATCGAGCGGAAGCAACAAGAGACATTCTTCCTACGTCGCCACAGCTCGTTCTGTAGAACTCGTTCGGCCGTGGTCCTCGAGAACCGTCCGTGCAATTAGCGGACAAACGAGGCTTTAATGGATCAACCGGAAACCCCCAACCCTGTCTGGGGATTCTGGTTTTTCATAGACCGTGGACGAATCTGGACACACTCGCGAACAACACACATGGACACGCATACACTGGCTCGTGGTCTTAGCGAAACATGCAAGTATCCAATCGCAAGCTCGCTTCTTAGATCGCTTTTCCATTTGTTTGACCACTTGTAATTCTGAGATCGCTCTATCGAATTGGTAGTACTTGATCCACCAACTCCGCTTAGGTCGTTGATTTCTTGCTGATAGGATTTATTTTGTCTGAGAATCACTAAGTTCTCGGTTACTTTAATCAAAATATTTAGGGTATCGTAAGTTGGGGTAAGTTTGCCTCAGCAAGGGTAACTTTGTCCCAAGTCAGAAAATGATCATTTTCGATTTTCCAGCTCTGCAAAATCTAACCCCTTTTACATGAAAAGGTATTTCATGTTAAAATACCTGCAAAATCGAAAATGATCATTTTCTGACTTGGGGACAAGATTACTCCCCTGACAGAGACAAAGTTTCCTCAACTTACGGTATTTAGTATACCGTCTCTTTCATAGTTGATCTGTCCATCATAATTATCATAAGAAGATAAGAGATCTTCAAGTTTCGGTTTATAATAGTTACCTGCCATCGGTTCGGATATCCTTCTCTATCCAAGGTAGCAAAGGGAGATGTGACTAAACCAATTAACACTTTCAGTCTGACCAGTCAGAGACCTATTCCACTGCATGCGCACACAATATTAAATTGGACTCTCAAGGGAGCTTTTCAGTCGAGAAGTAGGGGAATAGGAATGCGACAGGGACTTGAGCGACTAACTTGTTGATACAGGTAGCTCCCCCACCGATTCCTCTGCGGCCTCCAGCGATCCCGAAGAGGCGGAAAAACGAGAAACCGATACCGGTACAGTTGCCCGCGCAGAATCGACGGAAAGCCAGCGACCCGACACCGTCCACCGCGTCGTTGCTCGCCTGGGACCAGGAGAGCGAGAAACTGATCGACCTGGGCCCGTACCGGTCCCAAGATCATCAGCACCCCGCGCAAGAATACTCGTTGAACTTCCCAGGCAAGGAGGTGTCGGGGGAGGAGAGCGATTTCGTGGCGGACTTCGACAAAGCGAACTTCGAGGAGGACGACTGCAAGCTCAGCCAGAAGTCGAGCTTCGAGGAGCTGCAGAAGGCCTCTCGCGATCTCGAGAAGAGGCTGCACGAGAGGATCGTGAAGAGTGCCGAGACGAAGTTCAAAGATCGTCAGCCAGGCGGGGATGGACAACAGAGGCTGGGAGCTGGCGGGCAGAATACGAGGTGAGACTGGAGAGTTGCGCTGATGATGAACGTGAAGAACGAGACTGAAGTCTTTTGTGCCACGAAATTTTACGGAATAATTGTATAGACTGGACTACGAAACGCGATCAGCTTAGATTATTTTACTGCTAGCTGTTTGATCGAAAATTATTTTGGCTAATATAACATGATTCAAGGAGAACTCCTGGCGAGGTCTCTAAAGGTATTATCATGACTGATCAATTATTCTAGTGTTTCGTTGAAACTTTCGAAGTTCCATCGATTCTTAGATTCGACTCGAAGCTTATCGATTATCAACGTATTTATCTTCAGAGGACCTTTCAGAAACCTTTATATATTTGTTATAGTGTTATCCTACGAAAAATAAGCGACCCTCCCGGAGCCTAAAGATAAGCTTCCCGTCCTTTACCGGTTAATAAGACCTTACAGAGTTGCCACTTACACGTAGGCATCGGAAAATGAATATATTTCCTCGATTATTAATTCCGTGGAGTGCATTTCACAAAGCAAGATAAATCAATGACTGGAACACAAGCTCGTAGGCATCAAAGTCGCGCCACCGATTTCACGCGCATCGCTCTTTTTACAAAATGTCAGAAGCTACATCGAGTGAAAAAAAAAAGACTCGTCGATCATGTGGCCTCGATCGACGCGAGTTCCCGTCGCGTCAGCTCGAACTTTTTGTGCAAAATACCTGCCTCACCGTACGTAGCGAACGAAATATTATTCGGTGCTCGGGGATGTAATATTATTTCGCCCCGGAGGCCATTATACATGATGAGATTACGTCACCAGACTCTTGTAACTTTATTCAACCTCTGGCTCCAGTGGAATAATACGCGAATATTTGAAGTGAAATTTCGCTACGTCAAAATCTTCCGAGAGAATACCAGGCATTCTTCTTGGAATTTCTTCTTGGTAATTGTGATTTTAATTAAACGGTACAGAGGTACAAACGGTGGAACGAAAGAAATCTCTGACGAAATGATGATTTTTCTGATAGTTTCTTCCAGTTGAAATTTTGGCGTCGAGTTGAAAATTCCCTTTCGTTTCGAGGGGGTGCTCGAACATCGGGGATGTTGCGAGCGTGTTCGAGGCTTGGCTCGTATTAGTAGCTCGATGCTCCTTCGCTTGTTAAACGAACCGTGAGTTTCGACTTTATCTCGGCCACTCGTATCGGGTAGAAACGTTCACCCCTCGAAGTGGCTGGGGCCCGTCCTCCACGGCAAGCGGTTTTAATTCGCCGACGCTTACGCCCGTTACTGTGCTCTCGTGCACGGCGAGCAAAAGCTTCGGCGATAAAAGCGTGTTCTGCGACCTAGTGGTCTCGAGTGTTTTAATTCGATGGACTGAACGATAACGTTTCTGCGTATATCAAAGGATCTAGAAACGATTAACGTGATATTAGGTGTACCAGCAAGTAATCCACTATATTTTGTTAAATTCAATAGTTTTAAGGAAAACAGCCTATGACGGATACGGCGGATATAGCGACCTATAAAAGCGGACGTGTGTCACATACTTACAAAAGTTTAAACGCAGAATTATTAAAAAGTGAATAGTGGGTTACTTATTGGTACGCCTAATAATTGGCACGGAAGATTTGTGAATGAGTTGAATGTTATTTAGAAAATTTTATAAATACTTTTGCAAGGATATTTTTTGGGGGGAGACGATTGAAATTTCGTTTTTCGTCCGAAGAAAGATAGACAGATGCAGCGGGCTAATATTAAAACGGTAATTGGATTCTGAACTCAGAATAACGCTTCTGATGTCTCTTTCGCAATTATCTCGATCGGTTGTCCGTTCCCGCGAAACAGAAGAATCCTTTCACAACCGGTAATGGGGAAGTTTCTTCAACTGTTCTGAAATCAATTACCGATGACAGGAGGAAAGCTTCGCGTTATAGAGTATATAAAAGGAAGATATTATATACCCGTAATAACGGGGCAGGCGAGCTTTCATTATACTGAAGTTACGTTGAATTAACGTATCGAGCTTGCCTTCTGAATACAAGGCATGCCCGGCGTTCTTCATATTGTTCACGGAATAACTTGACGGTGTAATATTTCACGAACGTGTACCGTAGTTTACGGAGCTTCCCTCCAACATCAAAATTACATTACGTGTTCACTCTTCTGTAACTAAAACCTCTACAGATATTATTCCACAATATAAAAATGAAAATTTCACTATTGCTATTAATTCCTAAAAACTCAATACACTGAAAAAGAAATTTCGGGTATTTTTTTAAATAAGTAAACGGGGGAAGCCAGGGTAGTTAATTGAATCTTAGGGGGTCCTCGCGTGCACGTATCCCGTCGAAACTTTCTTTCTTATTCGTCGTTACGACACTTGGCCCGGTTCGACAGGCTTCTGTCATCGAAGCTGGGGGAGCAGGAGGCTGAGATGGACGGCTGCGAGGAAGCCGTTGACGAAAAGATTCGGGAAAAATTGGCTCAATCGCGACGGGAGGCCCAGCACGTGGACGAGACGAAGTTCGCGGCGTTGTTGAGGTCGCGTCGCGAAGCGGAGAAAAGATGCAAGTTCGAGGAGCTTCAGGCGGCCTCGAGGAAGCTCGAGAGACGGCTCCAAGAGGAGGACGAGAATCTCCGCGCGATCAAGGAGAGGCCAGCTACCAGGTAAACGGTTTTTTAATATGCCGAGAATATCGATTCGCCAAAATACCGAGTAAATCGCTGATGTTCGTGCATGGTCAAATAATTTTAAAACGAAAATAACAAAACAATAATCTAATCCAGTCACGATATTGTACCGTGCCATTTGAATTCACAAATATTTCCGATTGTTTCCCGTGCGAAAAATCAGATACGACGAGCTGCAGAGAGCCTCGCAGGACCTCGAGAGGCGGTTGCATTCGGATCAGAAGTCCCCCCAGGAACCTCGAGGAAAGTACGAGACGGAGATGGACAGAGCGAGATGCATACTGCAGCACAGCCTCAGGAAGGACAGATGCTGCTCGGAAAAACTAGAGAAACTGCCGAAGGCGACGCAGACGAATCTTCCGCCGCCTCTAAGCGCAATTTCCCAGAGCCCTGTACCGAAACCCATCAGCGTCAGACAGGACAGTAACGTTTCCTCCGACAGTTTCAGCCAGACCAGCTCGCCCAGCTACACCAGCAAGACAATGGAGGCTCCCCTCCTACCCCATAAGCACGGCAAGGTCCCAGGTAACATATTCAGTTTACGAGTATCGCATTTTCACTAGGTTTCAATGGAATGCTCGATGTGAAATCTCGTACATCGTGCTGTGTGTATACATATAGCGTTTCTTTGATACGCGGTTTCCCTATTCATTCGACGAAATTCGATTTTTTCTTAATTGCTTTTCCAATATCCTACAATGTTTTCACTCACAATCAGTGAAAGGTCGGAAGGATATCTTACAAAGTACAATATATCGCCTTGTGATTTAAAAAAATTGTGGATCACTTATCGATACACCTAATATTAATTATAGATAGTTCCGTTATGAATAAGGACACAAAGAAGCTATAGTGAAATTCTGCAGACACGGTAATATTCTTCGCGTAGAATCGACCAGGTCACAGGACTGCGTCGATCGCGGTATCTGTGAAAAGCCGTAAAAGATTAGGCCGTTCGCGAAGAGATTAACGCGTCAGCGTTCGATTAATCATTTTCCACGCGCTATTCAGATTAATACGGCCTACCTGGCGCGTCTTTCTTTTTCACTGAAAGTGTTCCAATTTAAAGTCACCGGGGGCCCGTTCATTACGAGGCGAAGCCAGCCGGCCGCGGTGGTGACGACGTGACTCGAATACTCGGTCTCATTTGTATAAACTGTCCACTTGAGCGTAAGGCGGCCACCTAAACTTCCCGTTTCGGGGGAATGTTAATGAAATTCTTCGCTAAATAATCCAGACAGGGCGCTGGTGTCCGAGCCGGACACGACGGGCAGGACGATCACGAAATCGACCAGCACGCCGGCCAGTCTTCAGGCGATCGTCAGGGTTCACGGGGGCAACAGTGGCTCGCTGCATCATAAGGTGAGCATCAAGATTTTTGATACTTTTGTACCCGTTTTAGCCGTCAGATGAAAGTCCGACGCCTATTTTCACTTCTGAACTGCCACTGACGCGGTAGATCGTTTGACGTTATCGTGAGTGCGTCAGAAATCTTGTCAGAATTGTTTCTGAAGCGTTTCAGAGAAATTTCCACGGTGGAATTGTTACGAAGCATTGTAAAAAGACAGAAGGTGCCCACGAATAATTGAGATCCCTCCCCGGGGAATCGATAATTCCCGTCGTTTTGTTCTTTCGTTTCCAATTGGGCGCGCGTGTCCGCGAGTTACGCGCTCGATATCGGGTATCGAGGCGGGCGAACGGATATCGTTTCACGCGGAACGTTTCTCGTTATTAACGCTAAAAATAGGTACCGCGATAATAAACGCGAGGCAGACACAAAATCCCGGCGAGGCGCGCGAGCCGGATGTAATGGTTATTTCCATCGCGCGGCTGTTTAATTGCGCTGGCTTTTTACGTTTCAACGAGTTCACCCTCCGAGGGTGTTATTGGGAACTACTTTTCTATGCAATCGAGCCAATTTTCCGTGCTTCCTTGACAGGGGTGCGTGATTTAATATACGACAAAGTGAACGTCGGTTGTTACATTCGAGTCGGGCGCGTCTGACCATTCCCGTTTTCTTCTACATGTAATGACCGTGTATTGTTTTATCTTGGAAGAGCTAAGAATGATTTTTATTTTTATTAATAAAGGACGGAAATAACGTAACAAATGTGACTTTCTGATACTACGAGCTTCTATTAAATTGAAGATAGTACGAATCTAACATAATGGATGTCACTATGACATAATGGAGTCTTTTATGATACTAGGAAAAAATTTGGAACTTGTACGGCTAACTTTTTCAGCGTAACAGTGTAATGTTTCTCGTGAAACCGCCGAATTCTCTAGCGACACGGTCCGTCGCCGACTAAATGTCTCCTTTGGTAGCGCGATACGACCGCGACGAAATTATAATCGATATCGACGTGCTGGCAGAAGGGGCCGAGTGCTGCGTACCAACACGTACTCGTGGGGTGCGTTGACTTCACAAACACAGAATCTGTTGCGACCTGGCGAACAGGGTACCTCGACATGAGGAACTAATATGTATTTGCGTCGATTCGTGCACCCATTACTAGCCGGCAATTATGTAACTAGGCTGCCTTTCTCGAATGATCCTCAGTAGTCGATCGACCGGTTCTGTATTGCATAACGCAGGGTAGATATAACCCCATTCTCTGTGCTGTGTTTTCTATAGAAGTAAAATAGGGAAGATTCTAGTACCCAATATCCATTTTCACCTTAATGAACACCTAAATAGTACTGATTTACCTGAAAACCAAAGAGGGCTATCAGATTGAAAAAAAAGTATTCGGCCTGTCAGGTGTTTAATTGTTCACCATTTCCTTGATTTTTCTTCCAGATCATTAGGGACATGACCAACAGCCACTACGTGACCACTGGGAGGCTTCGGTTCAGGTTCGTCCAGGTGTTCTTCAACGCGGTCGCGCTTCTGATCATCGCCGGCGGTCTTGCTGTATACTTTAAATGTAAGTGAATGTGTACGATCTAATCGTGCAGTGTGTGTTCGCCTGATAATGGATCTTACATAACGCGTGTCGGTTTATTGCGCGGGGAAGTACCTAGTCGGGTGACGAACCTAAATGTTCGTGACGTTAGGTGTAATGCACGAGTAGAACGAGGAGCTTTGTGGTACCGAAAGATCAATAGAGCTCCCGGTCCTAGTGTGCTACTTGCTTTCAACCATCAACACACTAGACTTCGCGACGAACAACTTCGGCAGGAGCTTCGTTGGTCATACTTATCCCGGATTTCCTGTTTGGGTATACGTACATTACATTAGATTACATGTATAGTCCATTTAACGAAAGAAATTAGGGGCAACTAAACCGATCATCGGTTGTTTAGAATTTTTCGTAGAGTTTCAATGTCAAAGTTCCATTTTCCCCAGAAACATCTCGTAAGAACGGACGCGTTCCCTCTCTAGGTATTTTTAGAAATGATTCTTTCGCGTCCGTAGCAATAAACAATGACACGATCGTACAAAAGAGGTCGTTAACAAGTCGAGAGAAAGCAGCTAAGCGCTGGAACGCATCAGACAGTCGGGGCTGAATTTCAAACGTTGCTACTTGCAACCCGTCGGACGCAAAAGGGTCGCGCGCGAAATTATTGTGCCGAGAGCCGATCGTTAAAAGCGAAAACGCGTGGTCCGTTATGTTGATTTAACACGCGTCGACCTACGGGACCGTATGGATGGTCCGTGGACTGATTCTCGGACCGCGACGTGTGCCTGTTTCGCGCATAGTTGCAACAGTAATTTATCGTTTGGATAATGGCGACGAGAAATTTTCCAGTTCGTGGTCACATTGCTCCGTTTCGCAATACTCTCGCCTTTTTAACTCTACGATGCATGAACTCTGGCGTTCGTTAGATATACATATTTAGTTCGTGATTGTTCTATCCCCACTAGTTTCTAAACCGAGGAAACTAATTTTAAAATTTTCAAAGCAATTTATAAATTATAAGTAAATTATACAATTATAGAAGCAGGAAAGTAGTGAAATAATCAAACAGACTGTACATGTTTGATAAACTCGTTAAACCGCGAAATTTATATGGTAGGTACAGTGGATATGATTATTTTTTATCTAGATTAAGAGCTAAAGAAACACAGTAGTCATCCGATGTTGTCGGTATTCCTTAGCTCGAGATATGACGTTGAGAACCGTGGAATAATTGGTTTAATGTATTCGACGAATTGCACCTGGGGTTGACAAGTCGATTACGAAAATACGGGGCGGTGTGAAGCGCAGGTGGAATTTTCATGGCCCTCGATCCTTCAAATTCCTTCGCAGTCCTTGGGAACGGGTTCGTCGTGTTTACTGATCCGTCGAGAAAGGGTCTCCCTAACATTCTAACGAATCGTCGATACTCTTGTATTTTAGAAATCTAATTGTACGTTAAAACTGTTTATTTTTTTTTTATTAAAACAGCCTATCCGGAGACAGTGATACGACTGGAGAACAAAACAATTTACACGAACATGATCACGATGACGGAACGGGCGCCGCGGATGATCGAGGAGAAGAATCCAGCGCCTGGGGTCTGTCTCCCAATAATAGTGACCTTCTGCAAGTACCACAAGGTAAGCCCTCCCACGTCGTTCTGCTTCTTTGGAGCAATTCCCAATAAACTCGCGAGGAATCCATCCACGGAGATTCCTGGGATTCGTCGAATCGTGTTAAAACAGATCCCACCCGCGTTCAATTGGTATTGAAGTCGGATCGATCCATACTGGACGTAACGTATCATCATTCCTTACGTTTAAACCATTCGAATCGGAAACAGAAGCTTTCATAGTCCTTGACAATGAGGCCACATGAAGCTCGATTTGTTATAAAATCTGACGGAATGCCTGAAAAAGTTTGAGGACCGAAAAAGGTTCAGGATAATTTTTATCTTCGACGACGTTGATTACAATGTTTTAAAAAGTGTTATGTTTATAAAATTTAGTATGTGATTTTACTAGTATCTTTTATGCTGAATTCATGTATGCAATCCGGTTGTCTTCATCACGCAGAGTTGTTGTATGACACACAGTTTATCATTTAATAACTAGTATAATCATATATACATATGTAAAAGCATATTATAAGCTCTATAAAATAATATTATTATTAATATAATATTATTACGTAGTACAAAGCATTATTACACAGAAACTGTGGGTGATGGAAAAACGTCTGATTGCAGAGCCAAATTCATCGTCGCAAAATACATAAGAATCAACGTAAATGTTCCTTGTGAGAAAAATCATGTTGACCAGCGTCGTTCAAGCTCACATTCACGTGTTAAACTAGATCCCGTACAATTTCACCGTCTTCCCGAATTACATGGGCAACTTCGGCCAACGGGACGCCCAGCACGAGCTAGAGCTCTACGAATCCGTGATCGACGTCAGATGCTACGAATTGGCGGCCCTCTTCCTATGCAGCATCTTCGTGCCGAAATGCGGGTCTAGGGGACATCTCGTGCGTCCTTGTCGTAGCCTTTGCTTCCGTGAGTAATCTCACTCCTCGATGATCGATCACGAAAGACCGGAAATTTCGCCGACAGACATCGTTTATCGAGTGCCACCCATTTACTGAGACTCGTTCACTTCTATACAGAAACCAAAAGACGCTGTGGGTTCTTCCTGGACGTGTTCGGTCTGACCTTGCCCGACTATCTCGAGTGCGAGCTGTTCCCGGAGAACTCGAATCCAGACGAGTGCGTGGGACATCGTGAGGTACTGGAGGCAGCCAGGAGAGCAGAGAAACCCGGTAAGTGCAATGATATTCACAGCCCTCGGTCTTCTTCGAAACGAGAAATTGTAGTCCTAACTGGTCTGGCTTCTTTCGTATATTTTTTATTACCAATTGTTGAAACGATCCTTGTAGTTTTGTGGTATTTACAAATAGTTTTTATTACCGTCGTCTATGAAAGAAAAGCGATTGGAAATCGTATTCGAGAACGATTGATCTCTGTTACGAACGGTGAGAAAGTAACTGTTCTAAGGACGTTACTACTTTGACTCACGAGAAAAAGCTTGGCTTCCGCTACAAGAAAAAGTGGCGTAGGAGCCTTCCACTATTTGATCTCCGGAATTAGTGCGATCAATGTGAAATTAACATTCGATTTAACATTTCTTTCGGTACATGCAATAAATATATTTTCGACGATGTATGACTAAAAAAAAGAGAAGTAAAATGTGTCTGGCTATGTACGGCCTTTTTCACTGTCGCAGTCAATGTGTTAAAAGGACGTGGAGATTTCGACGGAAATTGGGAGAGGGTGACATTTGAATAGATCGATTCGCAAGGGCCGCGAATTAGTCATTACAGAGGAGTGGATCGAGTCGAGACCCAGACTCATTGTCCGCCGGTCACAGGGCGCTTCGTCATTCTCGTTCAAGGCCTCGGCGCCCATTTATCCGGCTCCTTCAGCACCGTGGGGATAAGCCTACTGGATAAAGGTCCCGGGCATTTGATAAAGAGGTGGATAATCGTGGGATTAAAATAATCTCGACGGAACAGCCGGACCGACGGCCAGAATATAGGCGATTCCGCGTGTGCGAAACTCTCGGAAGGACACGGAGCTAGCTCCCGTTCTTTTTCCTTACGCTGTAACGTGTCGAACGGAATTCCACGCGGATTAGTATGTCCGTTAACTAAAATCTGGGTGACCACATGATCTATTTGTTTTTCCGATAGAAAAAAAACAATGGGGAAAGAATAAGGATGATCATGAATTAGAAAAGAGGTGTACGAGAAAAAATCATCGTCAGAAATATAAGAGGAGGAAGAAAAGCAGGCGAGAGCTTCAGGAAACGAACAATCGGCGCGTCTCGGGCTCCTGGAACAATAGAGATCGGAAATATTTATGCGACGCTCTATGAGCAGACCGGACTAATTGCCGACTAACGTTCCTAAACCGATATCCATTGTTCCGCCTCTACCATCGGCGTTCACGACTCTTTTGTCCCGTTCGTTTGTTCGTCTCTGCTGGCTGGAATGCCTCCTCCATTGTTGACCGCTCTGTGATACCGTTCGCGTGTGTTGATTCTAGGATCGTACCGGGGACGATCTAATACCGTTTCCTTAATTGTCCCGGTCTCGTTTATTGCTTCGAGGTTTTCCACGGTCGATCGGTCCACGGAACAGGAGCGATGTCTTTCGCGATTGGTCAGACGAAAGAACGTGATATTCGATATATACCGTACATGTTATTGTTCTGTTGATTAGACTCGAAAGATCGAATGGACTGATTGGAAAATCGAGTTATTGAGAGCAGTTATCGAATCCCACGGTTGATCCTTTTATGGGGGATGGCAAATATAATTTCGGATCAAGAGTCAATTAGGAGACGAAGAGTTTCGCAATTAACCGAATTGTCCCTTTATTTTATCCATTGAGATGGACTTGAAAGCCTCGAAGCTTAATTGTTTCGTATCGAATTAGTTCGCCCAAAGTCCTCTAGTGGTCGTCAAAGAGGGACGGCTACATTTGAATTCCCTATGATTTCCTCCTGTTTCAGTGGTAAAGGTCGGTTACGGTTAGACCGACAACGATGAGATTAAACGACCGGCGACCGAGTTACGGTGCGGCGCAATCACGGAATCGAGGATATATTGTGCGACGAAAGTTTCGTTATCGATCCGGCTGCATCCTGACGGCGCAATCGAGGGTCGATTTGCACTTAATACACCGATTCATTTTCGTTCGCGGTTAATTAAGGTTATATTGACCGCTGTTGATCACGGACTTGCCTTCGGTCGATCTGGCCCGATAGAACGAGGCTGTCTTTGATCTCTAGATTTGCACGCCGTTCGATCGAGTTTTTTAACGTTTTCGACGATGGTATCGAGGAGATTTAAGAGGCACATCCGGTCCCAGGTTCTCCTAAACTGAATTTACTGGACGGTCGAAAACGACCCAGTTGACACGTTGCTTGGATTTAATGGCCACTTCGAGTCGTACTGTCGGGGAATTTATTGTGGTACCGAGTGTTACTCCACTCTTTAACGGTATTTCCATTCTCTAGTTTACACCAGGGGTATTTTAAACCTTTATCTTGGCCTGTGGAACCTTTCTTCTTCTATGTATGTTCTACACATGAAAAATTGATCTGGATATTTTAGATACACAATTTACTTGCAAAACTTTATGGAATCGTAGTTAAGTACAGGAGACACCAGAAAGGTGCATATTCAAAGATTCTTCACAGGAGACTCTCCCTTGGTTACTCTGTTAAATAATGTCTCTTAACGACCGCTTCGTTCTAACTATCTTTGGTTAGATTATAAAGGTCGTTTCACTCTTTCGATAAACGACAGGTTTCTTCAGGAATGCAAGACGACTTTTCATCGCGTAACAGCACTATTGTATCAACAGTTTGATGTTTGAAATATTATCTGGAAGTTTTTCATGGAAAAGAGCGTTCCGGTTCAGTGGTTCAGAAAATTCGTAAGGGAGAACGATTCTGATTTATGTAAACGACGACGGTCGACGCGAGGTAATAACGTACGTGTATGCGTATCAGCGTGCATCAGCTTATATTACGGTTCTGCGTACGTGATATGTCGCACGTGCCGCCACTAATGGAATCTTAATGGGAAAATCTATATTAAACGATCGCGCGACGAGCCATCTTCGGCGTCTGCTCGTTGTATGGAGTTCACATCGACCGGCGATTCATCTTCCACGAACGACATTATGTATTTACACCGGATAGACATTTATCAAGAGGGAATGAACTCTCGGCTCGATAAGCTGTTGAATGTGGACTAGTTTAACAATTTAGTTCCATTTCTTGACGATTGTGCATGGAATTCTCTTGAATAAATGTTCTTCGTAAATAAATCTTCATAATAATTTTCAATGTCGACGTTCTCGAAAAAGGAGTCTCAAATAAAAAGAATTTTATTGTATATCTTCGAATTTCTCGATCACGTAGAACAAATATGTATTCCTACGATATTCCATCACTGGACCAACAACCTAACATTCTCATACCAATTTCCACTGACAAATATTCAAAGCTTCAAATTTACTTCTCATCGACCAAAAGTATTTCGAGACCAGCACTTCATTTGTGTTACCCAGGATGCATTTGATTTCGAGAAAAACCTTTTTTCCCTCGTTCGAAATCCAATTTGCTCTTCTGTATATGTCTTCCATCAACCACGTCGACCGTTCAGGAAAAAAGGGGGTGGTAAAGAACGAAGGAAGCTGGTCGAAAGAATAGGGTACATGTATGTTTCGTTGTACACAGTATGCACCAGCGGTTTCCAATGCGACGGCACTAGATGCATTCCGGTCGACTGGCGATGCGACGGCCACTTGGATTGCGCCGATCACAGCGACGAAATTGGATGCGGGGATTGCAGCTTGTTCTCACCCTCCGCTGCGTTCACCACGAAGATCGTGAAAAAACCGATCCTCGCGAAGAACAACGTCTCGAAATCGCCATGGCACTGCGGCGACAGGAGGTGCATGTCCACCAGCCACATCTGTAACGGCGTGATGGATTGCCCGTGGGGCCAGGACGAACGCTATTGCTGTAAGCGGAATATATTAACCCTCTGGCGGTTGTATTCATCTCTCAGACATACACTACTGGTCTATAAGTATCCTAAACACAGTATATTATCAATAGAGTGTGGATGTTTATGCAAAAATATAGAATTTTATGGTGTAATTTCGAAACTGGATAGAAATTGGTGACTCAAAGGACAATAAATCATCGATAAGTGGTCGAAGGATTCTCGGCACTGAACATTAAATATTTCATGCACTAATGGCCATATGCTGCTGAAAACAATATCATTGGTTCCGTAATTCCAAGCTCTATCACCGTGTTAGCACGAGTTAATGAGGTTTAGACCTCATTAAAAAATTGATAAAAAAAAGTAAAGTTTCTGAAACTTTTTACGTGCATTGAATTTTAGACAGTCATATTTTATAAATGTCGATGGGTTTCAGTGAAGCTCAGCCTGAGGAACGGGGACGTAGGTGAAGGACGACTGGAAGTTTATCACTCAGAAATGGGAAAGTTCATGCCGGCTTGCATATCGCATTGGGAACCAAACTCCGCGAAAGCGATCTGCTCCATGCTCGGTTACACGTAAGAGAATTTTCTTGGGATCAGTATCGACTTCTGAATATGCTATAGCTTTGAACCTGTTCGAAGATACAGTCGTCTGTTCGTTGATTTATTACTATTGTACACTGTCGGTCACAAGTATTAGAACATCTGATCCGTACGAAGGAAATGTGATGTTTCTTAGAAAAAAGTTACATATCTTTGGCCACGTTTGTTACTTCATAAGCGTTATCCATCAAGTTGCAATATCCCTTGAACAATATTTATTTCAGACTTTCAGCAATTTCGTAAATTCACCGTATATTCGATAAACATCGACTACTACATAACTGTTACAGGGAGGTGGATTCATCCAGATTGATAGCCCACGATAACAACGTCACCCAACGGAACGCGAACTCCAGCGAAACGAATCTTCTTAAGGAATTCCAGGAATGCATCACCGATCAGGAAGCTTACCCCACGGTCGAGCTGACGTGCTCCGAATATGGTACCGTATCCATAATAATATCACGAGGAATTGATCCTTCTTATTGATATCTTTTTGTTTAGTAATTAAAGCATCGTTGATTTTACAGCTTGTGGCCGACGAACGCCAGTCTACGGTAACTCGAAGGTGAAGACAAGAATCGTAGGGGGCGTCGAATCGGCACCAGGCGATTGGCCGTTTTTAGCTGCCCTTCTGGGCGGTCCAGAGCAGATCTTCTACTGTGCTGGGGTCTTGATCGCCGATCAATGGGTTCTAACAGCTTCTCACTGTGTTGGCAAGTGCGTGTTAATTTTTTATATTCCCTGGTAGCGAATAATTCCGTGTTTATACCACACTTGACCGATCGACCTTTGTAGTTCCAGTCGCACGGATGTGTCCGGTTGGACGATACAGCTGGGAATAACCAGGCGGCAATCCCACACCTATCTCGGCCAGAAGCTGAAGGTGAAGAGAGTGGTGCCTCATCCTAATTACAACGTGGTCGTCGCTAACGACAACGACGTGGCTCTTTTCCAGGTAGATAGCGTCGTCACTTTCTGACGTGATTAATCTTTCGATCTAACACTGTATGTCCCCCTGTTAGTTGGAGAAGCGAGTCCAGTTTCACGAGCACCTCAGACCCGTCTGTTTGCCAACCGCTGACACGCACCTTGTGCCGAACACTATGTGCACCGTGATCGGTTGGGGCAAGAAGAACGACACCGACTGTACGTGTCGCGGCGTTTGTCGACGGTTTAACGGAAATTTCATTAACAATTATTGAATGCTTGCAGCGTCCGAGTACGAACCAACTGTGAACGAGGTGCAGGTTCCAGACGTGTCAGGTAATTGTTATTGGAAGTTGATCTTGTCCCTGACGAATGCTTCAGATTAGAAATTCCCTTTGACTTTGAACGACATAATGTCGACACTTTATTGATGTGCAATCGTATCGAACCTAAAGTTTTCTCGATTCTGAGCTTTCCAGAGCTTCCAAACTCTGTGAATTTGAACTCTCAAACAAAGTTTTGACTGAAAAAGACGCCTGTCATTTTAATAGAAGTTCGAAGGATAAGGTTTTTGTATCGATTCTAATCGACAGGGCGACTCTGGGGGTCCCTTGCTCTGTCGAGACGAGCACGAGGAGGAGAAATGGTTCGTCGGAGGTATCGTCAGTTGGGGCATCATGTGCGCCCACCCAAAATTACCAGGCGTGTACACCTACGTGCCGAAATATGTGCCATGGATCCGTAGCGAGATGAAAAAGTACTCGGACGTGGGTATGGGTTAATGAATGATTTTCAACAACAAAAAATCATCCGTTATCGCCGACGAGAATATTCGAGCATTAAGAATAAGACAATAATTTTAACGACAATAATATACGTAGCGTGCAGGTTACCTTGTTGTGGGACTGTATCGCAAAGATTATGCTCATTAGCTGTACCGACGTTTAGGACATTAACGATGGGTGATAAACCAATTGATGTTTCCATTGATTGAAATTATACGGGGATACCTCGAACTTACGAGATTTTGATGTTTACTCGGTATCGACATAGGTAAAGAAACTACTCTTTTCTTTCCGAAGAGGCTGTACTTTTTTACTATATTCCTATTGAGAATAACCTGAACCTGTTGCAACGACAATACTTGGGACAATATGGTTTATTAAATAACCAATTAATGTCTTGGTCCGATCTTCAATAAGAACGCGATGTAATAACGAGGCTAGTTCTTCTAATCTATTTAAAAAGTAAACTCGAGGGGATGATCGACGTAGAAATGCCAAGATACATTGAAGTTCTTTCGATGTTAGAATATACGATAGCTGTTAAACGTAACTACGATCTTAAGTTCCTCGAACCCGACATCTATTTTGTAATGATCGACGAAGTACGAGCAAGGCTTCCCTGTGTCGCGATCGACTTTTTCGGAGGTCACGTTACGTTTAGGATAAGAAACTTAGTTAGTGGACGCGAAAGCAAAGATGAAATAAGAGGAAACATATTAACGAAGCTTTTGCACGAACACTTTCGGGTTTCGCGACGACGGACACCACTCCGGACGACGCGACGAGCTCTCGCCGCTATTTTGTAGAACGTCCGATCCTCGCGACGAACGCGTGCAAATGACGCGAAGAAAGTTTAAAGGGAAATAAAACACAGCCAAACGGCGTAACTTTTGGTAGAACAAGATAAAAAATGCAACTAAAACAAACAGAAACGTGGGTTTTTGCGAACAAAACGAAAATTCCGCATCAGATGCGACAAAAAAACACATTTGTATCGCCGTCGGTATTTCTTTTTTTCTTTCTTTCGAAAAGCCGCGTTAGACGTGCCACCAAGTGGACGGGGAAAAATCACAATTCAAAGGGTGTGCGTTTGAGTATTCGTCAATATTCTCGATTTTGGGACAATAATTAATAAATATTTTGCTTTCGAGTATATTTTTGTGAAATTCTCGGCGAGCTTAAGAAACGGTTTTTCATTTTCAAAAAGATGATTGAAATTCGATAGTAGTGGATCTCTACTTTCGGAACTCGAAGAATTGAGATAATCTGTCAGAAAATTGTTACGGTTCTGACGATTTGTTAGGGAAGATAGAGTGACTGGCATCGAAAGAATACAGGAAACGACACTTTTGTACGTGATTCACAAACGCACATCCGGTGTAGGTGAAATGTGCATGTAATGCATCAGATGCATTTATGCACAAATAACAATAGCAGTTTCGAATAAGAATAAGCATAAGAGATTATAGGGTAAAAATAACTAAAATATAAATAAGGTACATATGTGTTTGTTAATGTAACTCTGTAACAGGTAAACTCTATGTCTAGCGTTGCGTGTATTGATTGTATACTAAAGCACATATGTGTAATTTGTAAGCAGGGAAACTATATATAAGGGAATATATAAGAATATATAAGGGGAATATATAAGAACGTATGCGACAATAGTTAAAATCGTATTATAGGTAATTTAAGAAGAGAGCTGAGCAAACATTATCACTTTATTTCAAGTTCAATCAATTTAGAGTAAAAACTTTTCTTTTAATGCTGCTCTTCTTCTCCCTTACTTCGCCACGAATAAAATTATTTCAAAATTTGAAATGATTTGTTTTAAAAAAATGGGAAACACAACATGTAGATGTAAAATTTAGGTACGTTGGATACTAAAGACAAATATTTAAACATATAATAACAGCAGGGTTAAACGGATATCACAAGATCAGATGTTTTCTAAATAATTGAAAATCTAGTCACAGATATCTATGTTCCTAGAGTCTATTTCAAATATAAAAAAAGTTGCTCAGCTCAAAGAACAGCTTGACGATATACGTAATAATCTGTTAATCGAATAGTCCATGTCACGACTATTTTCATTGCCGATTATCATTCGCAGTGAGAGTAGTCGAAACGTTGATAACCTTTAATATTAATCGAGCACCACGGTGCCGCTTGTAGTCTCTCGTTAGCGCACTGTGAACATAGCATAGGATTAGAGATCATGTTGACTGAATTCTAGGGACAATACTCTGCACCAGCACTTTTTTGATCCGCACCGAAATGGTAATAGCTTTTAAAACGTGTATACTTTGTACGATGTATATTGTTTATGAGAGCTTAGGAGCCTTACTATTTGACTTAGACTTTTTCTAAGAGGTAAGAATAGCGGTATTGTTGGTCAGGACAATAATCTCTATCGGTTTTCTTATGATCTTGCAGTTTTCATCTACTCTTCTACAAGAAGCGTTACTTTTGCGTTACCGTTTGCGTGAAATTCCACGACAGGATCTCTTGATTATTCAATTTTCCAATAGAAGGGTTAATAGAATTTACCAAACATACTGGCAGCTTATAAAGGGAGCTTCTTCTTTTTCTTTGAAGACATTTTTCCGAAATTTGAAACTTTTTCATTTTATTCCGAACGATTCTTTAATCCTCTTTTTCGAACATTTGCTAACGAAAACATTGTTTTCTTCATGGAAAATGCTAGACGACAAAAGTCTTCCTTAGTATCCAGACAACAGATAGTTGTAATCGAGGAGTAATATAATTAATAATAACCGACAATACTGTGTGAGCAGACAATAAATAATTATAGGAAATGTTCCAAGACGGACAATAAAACTAGCGCGTAAGCTTAGGGTAAATTGATTAGATTATAAGGGCGAAATTGCATGTGATTGTTACATAGTTTTTGTGTATTGATTGCTATCGTTGTCTAATAGGATCGTGATGATATAAGTCGAGAGAGATGATCTAAGCTGAGTTTGAATTCGATTAGATCGTGGGAATTCTGCGGCCTCAGAGCACATAAAGTTCTTCTTTAATTCCATAACTAGTAGCACTCACTCCATTTGTTATAGGAACTCAGTTTCTGTTTCGAAGATCCACTAAATAAGAAAGTTGTGATATAAGCTTCTGCCTATAGAGTGCAGTTCAATTGATACGATACTTTTGGTAGGTTCGAGGACACAAGAGTGTGACATAAAATATCGACGAAAAATAATCAAATCGGACAATCAAGAAGTTGCGAAGATTTTCGACGGAGATATTTTTCTAAAGACTACAACTGATTCCTGGCAATAATTTCACATATTTCAGCTAGCGTTTCTACCAATCATTCTGAATTACTAGCTAATAATCTTCATTTTATCCAACACATATTCTGTTGGTGACTCTTTTCAACGTAGGAATTCAACTCGTAATATTGTGATGATCGAGTCAGTGGTTTGTACGTAAGATTGCATAAAATATACGGAATATAACCGCGTGTAATATAAGCAGATGCAACTAAGAAGAATAATAACAATTGAAACGACTATACATATATATGTCGCAGAGGAGGCGAGCATAGGTCACTGTTTCTTTCACATGTCAGTGCCAAAGTTTTTACACAAAGATAGTTCAGGTATAGAGGGAAATATACATAGAGAGAACGCAAGGATTTTTGTTTCGCGAATGATTTTAGAGGTTTTCCGTTTTTACGCAAGAGCATTAAGAGTCAATACTTATAGTCAATTTAGGAGTAGGGATATTTTCGCGTGTAGGCTCGACGGCTGTAAAGTTTGTACATATAAGTCCGTGGAACCTTCGAGTTACCTTCTGACATTCATTTTTCCTCGAGCAACCTCAGATTCATTTCCTTTCATCCATTTCGTAACGCCTATAGAACGAACGGTATTCGTTGGATTCAGAACCCACAATAACAATTACTGAAAATTTAATTCTCAAAATTACTACTTTACGTGAATCTTCTTAAGAATTACCTGTGCTTAACCCTTCGTGACTTCCGTTATTTTTACGACTTCTCTCACCCCCCAGGTCTTGTATGTCCAGACCTACTTATTTTTATTTTATAGACTTCCAAAAAATTTGAAAAAAATCAGAAATCCTTCCCAGGATTTCTACTACATGATCCAATTGCTACTAAACTTGAATGTTAAAAGGTTTTTTTTTAACAGCAATTCCTTATTTGTTTCGGAGATATTTGAGTGCGAAATTTGCTTGTGTCATAGAAGACCCGGGGGGAGGGGGCCGTCACAAAATAACCTGCATAATTGTTCAGATTGAATCGATTCGAGGGTGACACGAGAAGCTGCGCACAAAATAACGGTGTCCCTAAGGAAAGTAGTTCCTCTCGGAAAATATTACGAAACTTGCGTAACTACTCCTGTGAAGTCAATGTTGATTAGCGAGATAATATGCACCGCGTATCCATTAAAGAATTATCGATAAGAAGGTTACTCTAAGTGGTTTAAAAATAGTATACCTGTATACAGTTGAGTATTGTAAACCACGTTTGTAGTTCAATGTCGAACGATTCACCTGTAAATCGTTCGACGTTGGAAAACGAATGTACAGTTAAGGGAACTTCGCCTTTAAAGACGAAGAAATTAGTAATACCGAAGAGTGCAGAGGATAGTGAGATAACGAGTTCGATCATTAAGAGCTGCTAGCCTACGGATTAATTAGCGAAACTGCAAGGAAACGTTGCCAAAACTTCTATACAATCTCCACTGAGCTTGATGAAGGATTATATCAAATTATTCATCGCGTCGACGATCGAACTAGATCCAGAGCCGACGATATACATATAATATAGTAACGTCAATTCAGAGTTTAAAATTAGAGCCACGTTCCTGTTCACGCCGGGTGAAATAAAATATATTTTATTCGAGAGTTAACGATTAGAGAAACAAGATATAATTGTCGTTTCGAGTACCAATCAAAGTTTTACTGTATTTGATTCTTTTAAAAGATTTTTCCGCCTTGATTCATTT